TTTTTTTTTGAAAAAGGTTTTTTTTCCCCAAAAAAGCCCCTTTCACTTTTGAAAACCCTGCTTTCGAAAAAGCTATCGGAAAAAGATATGCAAATTAGTGCTGAATTTGCACATCTCCTTTCGAAAAAAAAATGTAGTCTTGATGTATCCTAAGGGAAGATATATGCCAAGTCAAGGTTTCTAGCTTAATATAATGAGCCAAATTCAGCTCTAAATTCAATGCATTTTCTTCACCGCTTCTTCTCTAATTCTAATTCCGTCAGCGAGAACCTGGTATTCATCGAATTTTACAGGTGAAGACTAATTATAGCAGTTAACTTCTCACATTAAAGGGTTTGCGCAAAACAGAGCGAAGTGAATAATGATTTACTGACACTGAAGTGGCACCTATGTCGCATTTTGCTCAAACCACATTTATAGCTCTCTTTTCACAAAGGTGCATGCAGGTAGACCCTTGTTCCTGCTAAGGATTAAGGGCCAACAGTGAAGCAAAATTTGTTTTTTGCAGTTGTTCGTATAGATTACATCATCCAATCAGGAAACCGAAGAAAATACCACGAGAAAGACAACCAGTCCCACAGCTCAAATATTAAACTCATGAACATTGACTGCTGGCAGCAAGCTGTTTCCAAGCCTGAAATGTGTTCACACAAAGAATTCAAACAAATTGGTAAAAATCACAGCCTGTTCTCAGACAATGTGTGAATAGAATAAAGGGCAACATTGGCCAAATACACTGCTTTGCAAAGTTTGTGCATTGCTGACGTAGGAGTCAAAATAAAGCTGCATTATCACAAAACATTGTTCCCTGCACAGAAGGATGATGCTACCATAGCGCTGGCAAACTAAAACAGCATTTTACTTCTGATTAAGCAAGAGGACGCACATATTTGCTGCCCCTTGTTCTGTTAGGCCAACACACACAGTAATAGCAGAAACCTTAATTACCTTCTCTTTATGGCTTTGTAGACCATTTACATCCCCTTCTCTCTTAATTCTCTCTCACCTCTCTGGCAGCAGCACATCATGGCTGTGCTCATGTATAACATGGGGTAGTAATGATAACCAATAACAGCTGCTCGTCTGACTATTCGACCGAAGATCTCCAAGACCTTTCCAATGGTCAACCCGACTATGACTTGCCACTCCTGAGAGATGCACATTATACCATCCCCGCTTTACAGATGTGAAAACTGAGGCACAAAGCAAATAAATGATTTGCCCAAAGTCACACAGCAAGTAAGCAACAGAAGCAGGAAGAGAGCCCTAAAATCTGGACATTATTCTCTATGCTGATTTTCTGAGAACTCCACCTCCAGGATAAATGTTATAACAGTACAGGTTGGTCCTCTCGACTCTGGCACTCTCTGGTCAGGCAAGATTGTGGGCTGGCATGATTTTAGATAGCCAAGTGTCCACTTATCATTGGTATGACCAAGTTTCCCGTGGTCCCATAAAGTTTGTTTACAGCCACCAGTCCTGGCTCTCAGTGTTCTGTGCTGTTAATTACCCCTAAATGTCTTCTAAGAGTCCAGAAAGCAGTGGAAGTGCTGGTAATGCTACTAGACACTATTGACCTCTCATGGTTTGGCAAATTCTCTGGTTCAGCACCGATCAGGTCCCGAGGGGGCCGGAAAAGAGAGGTCCAACCTGTATCTGTATTTGCAAATTTTCCCACTGCACACTTGGCGCATCCACGTCTCACAAACCCGTTCTCTCCAGGCAATGTAGACAGTTTACCTTTGCAATCTGCGGGATACTAGGAAACTTGCTAAGTCCTGCCAGGGGGATCCTTTCATGTAATGTTTTCACTTTGGACCTAAGGAAAGAAAAGAGAAGAATGGAGAGAATGAAACAAGTTACGATCGTAGAGATGCCTCCTGAGCTTCCAGGCACGGTAATTGTGACTGGTAATGTGCAGGGAAACTACAGCAGGCATCTCTTCCAGATGTTTGGAAATGATACCCCACTGTATTTCCTGGGTATGACTAGGAACGATTGCCTCCATTCCTTTCACTGCCTCTGCAGCTCTGTTGTGCTCAAATATTCCTGTTCTGGTGAGAGACGAAGAAGATAACTCAGGCGCTGGGTCTCATCAGTTTACAGAAGGGTTGGTACTAACTATGATTGATGTTATCCATTATTCTCCCAGAGATTTTTTTTATCTTCGCTTTCACTGGGCTTGGCTACAGACCCACCCTGCCAAGACCTGGGAGAGGCAGGCTCTCTGCCTGCTGCAACCCGAGGCTGCTCAAAACAGCTGGCGGTTCCCTCTTGGTGCTGTGCACCCCTGGTAGGGGGCAGGGAGAGACTTCACGCGCTGCCCCACCCAGTCCAATCACGCCCTCCATAGAAAAGTGTGGCCCTTGACTTCTTACCAAAATCTTGGAGTGATCCCATCAAAAATTATTGCCTACCCCTGCCTTACCACTGTCATTCCCCCTCAGGGCCAGCTTTAGGCCGATTCCTCTGATTCCCCCGAATCGGACCCCGCAACTAAGAGTGGGGCCCCGTGCCTAAGAGGGCCCCGTTCCTGGGCACGCGGTGCATGTGTGGCCCCACCCCACCGAATCGGGACCCGCACTTCCTAAAGCCGGCCCTGTTCCCCCTCCTTATGTCTGGAATTGCCACTAAGGGTACGTCTAAACTACGGGGTTTTTTTGCAAAAGGAGATATGCAAATTTAGCGCTAATTTGCATATCTTCTTCCGATTGCTTTTTTGAACGTGAAAGTAGTCTGGATACATTTTTTTTCGGAAAAAAAAAACTTTTTCAAATAACTGCATAACACTTCTTGTGCTGAATTTGCACATCTCCTTTCGAAAAAAAAATGTAGTCTTGATGTATCCTAAGGGAAGATATATGCCAAGTCAAGGTTTCTAGCTTAATATAATGAGCCAAATTCAGCTCTAAATTCAATGCATTTTCTTCACCGCTTCTTCTCTAATTCTAATTCCGTCAGCGAGAACCTGGTATTCATCGAATTTTACAGGTGAAGACTAATTATAGCAGTTAACTTCTCACATTAAAGGGTTTGCGCAAAACAGAGCGAAGTGAATAATGATTTACTGACACTGAAGTGGCACCTATGTCGCATTTTGCTCAAACCACATTTATAGCTCTCTTTTCACAAAGGTGCATGCAGGTAGACCCTTGTTCCTGCTAAGGATTAAGGGCCAACAGTGAAGCAAAATTTGTTTTTTGCAGTTGTTCGTATAGATTACATCATCCAATCAGGAAACCGAAGAAAATACCACGAGAAAGACAACCAGTCCCACAGCTCAAATATTAAACTCATGAACATTGACTGCTGGCAGCAAGCTGTTTCCAAGCCTGAAATGTGTTCACACAAAGAATTCAAACAAATTGGTAAAAATCACAGCCTGTTCTCAGACAATGTGTGAATAGAATAAAGGGCAACATTGGCCAAATACACTGCTTTGCAAAGTTTGTGCATTGCTGACGTAGGAGTCAAAATAAAGCTGCATTATCACAAAACATTGTTCCCTGCACAGAAGGATGATGCTACCATAGCGCTGGCAAACTAAAACAGCATTTTACTTCTGATTAAGCAAGAGGACGCACATATTTGCTGCCCCTTGTTCTGTTAGGCCAACACACACAGTAATAGCAGAAACCTTAATTACCTTCTCTTTATGGCTTTGTAGACCATTTACATCCCCTTCTCTCTTAATTCTCTCTCACCTCTCTGGCAGCAGCACATCATGGCTGTGCTCATGTATAACATGGGGTAGTAATGATAACCAATAACAGCTGCTCGTCTGACTATTCGACCGAAGATCTCCAAGACCTTTCCAATGGTCAACCCGACTATGACTTGCCACTCCTGAGAGATGCACATTATACCATCCCCGCTTTACAGATGTGAAAACTGAGGCACAAAGCAAATAAATGATTTGCCCAAAGTCACACAGCAAGTAAGCAACAGAAGCAGGAAGAGAGCCCTAAAATCTGGACATTATTCTCTATGCTGATTTTCTGAGAACTCCACCTCCAGGATAAATGTTATAACAGTACAGGTTGGTCCTCTCGACTCTGGCACTCTCTGGTCAGGCAAGATTGTGGGCTGGCATGATTTTAGATAGCCAAGTGTCCACTTATCATTGGTATGACCAAGTTTCCCGTGGTCCCATAAAGTTTGTTTACAGCCACCAGTCCTGGCTCTCAGTGTTCTGTGCTGTTAATTACCCCTAAATGTCTTCTAAGAGTCCAGAAAGCAGTGGAAGTGCTGGTAATGCTACTAGACACTATTGACCTCTCATGGTTTGGCAAATTCTCTGGTTCAGCACCGATCAGGTCCCGAGGGGGCCGGAAAAGAGAGGTCCAACCTGTATCTGTATTTGCAAATTTTCCCACTGCACACTTGGCGCATCCACGTCTCACAAACCCGTTCTCTCCAGGCAATGTAGACAGTTTACCTTTGCAATCTGCGGGATACTAGGAAACTTGCTAAGTCCTGCCAGGGGGATCCTTTCATGTAATGTTTTCACTTTGGACCTAAGGAAAGAAAAGAGAAGAATGGAGAGAATGAAACAAGTTACGATCGTAGAGATGCCTCCTGAGCTTCCAGGCACGGTAATTGTGACTGGTAATGTGCAGGGAAACTACAGCAGGCATCTCTTCCAGATGTTTGGAAATGATACCCCACTGTATTTCCTGGGTATGACTAGGAACGATTGCCTCCATTCCTTTCACTGCCTCTGCAGCTCTGTTGTGCTCAAATATTCCTGTTCTGGTGAGAGACGAAGAAGATAACTCAGGCGCTGGGTCTCATCAGTTTACAGAAGGGTTGGTACTAACTATGATTGATGTTATCCATTATTCTCCCAGAGATTTTTTTTATCTTCGCTTTCACTGGGCTTGGCTACAGACCAAAGTCTAATGTTCATTCCCAGAGTAATCTCAAGATACGATATCCCAGCTGCAGTGCAAGTAAAACAATGTCCCAATCCCTTTTATATACCCATGGGGGATACCTGTTACATCTCTGAGAACCAATTTCATCTACATCCATTAGGGTGTAAAAACTGATAACGGATATTTAAATAGTGATTTTTTTTGTTTAACTTTAGAGGGAGAAGGGAGGTAGATTCATACCTGAGTATGATCCTTAAATATTCAGTACCATCTGCCTCTTCGCACTTAATAGAAAGAATCAGATTTCCTAGGCTGCTGGCTGTACAATAAAAATTTAAATGATCCTAAAAATAGAAGAGATGTGTTAATGCAATGTGATAAGGCAGCCTTATAGAGTGGCAACGACCTACATCCCTGCTACCTAAAATGCTCCTTAGACACTGGTCCCTGTGTCAAGAGAAAACAAGGGTGGTTCATTACAGTCTTAGGAAATTCTCCAACACCTCACTCACAAATGTTTCATGTCTCTGTCCTTTCAGAACCTGAAAGGGCTTATTGATATCAGCCTGTACTATATTACAGTTAGGACCTCTCTGGTCCAGGACTCTCTGGTCTGGCAACATCCGTGGCCCAGCAGGACCACAGATGTTGCTGGAACAGAGAACCCCAGCGGCTGGGAGTGGGCACCAGTGGGGAGTTCGGTGACAAAGTGGCCGGCAGCCAGAAGCACGTTTGGGGTCAGCGGCCAGGGCCAGGAGCATGGCCAGGGCCAGCAATCAGCAGATGTGGCAGGGGGCAAGTGGCCAGGAGCATGTCTGGTCCAGGTATGGGGCTAGGGCTGGAAGCGCAGCCGGGAGGGCTGCTTAGAAGCTGGGAGAGCAGCCCAGCAGCTGGGGGGCTGGTGACCCCCTGGAAGAGCCTGGAGGCTGGCAGCAGAGGGGCCGGTATTAACTTCCCCTGTTCCATCAAACTCCCTCTTTTGGGACCGGACAGGTTGTGAGGGTGCTGGACAGGGAGGTCCAACCTGTACTCTGTCTTTTGCTTATTCACAGGAACAAAGTGGACTATAGAATTTTCATTAGCAAAGGTAAATAAGGATTTTTCCCCTCAGGAAGAGACAATAACACAGAATCAGGTATTTGTCTATTTTGTTCTTAAAAACCTACACTGATGAGGATTCCAGAAACTCTCTTGGAAGCCAATTCCAGGATGTAACTGTCCTTATTGTTAACACGTTCCTAATGTCTAACCTAAATCTCCCTGGTTGCAGATTAAGTCAATTATTTCTTGTCCTACCTTCAGCATGCCTGAACTGTTCAATGAAAGTGTTAAATGTTAACCAAATAATAATAATTTACTTCACATTTGAGCTTATGAATGTCTAAACACATGAGTCAAACCCAGATAGCACACAACACCACAAAATATTTTCGGGAAGTTTAGACCTCAGTGCAAATATTGTGACTTAGGTTTATCACTAATTTTTTAACTCAATATCATGAAGAGAATCTTGATGACTGTAAAAAACAATGCTCTAAATATCAGGGACCAGAAATAAGTCGTGTCTGGGTACTTGATTTTTTACTGGATTTCCAATGCCTGTTGAAAACCACTTCTAAAGTCTCGCTGTTTTCACATTGTCCACAAGAAGGAGTTACTAGATTAAAATGAGGAAGGATTTGTAATAACTTGAGGCAAGTGATAGGTAGCTCAGGTTGGGAAATGGATTTTCTCTCCCATGAAAAGTTTTGAGACTTTGAAAAAATAATTATCCAAAAATTGGGACAAAAAGCCAAGATTTTTAACAAATTTTGCAAAATGAAATTCTGAAAAAAAAATTGCATGGATTTTGACCATTTTTAACATATAAGATAAAGTGCGTTTTGAAATGAATAAGCATTTTTAAAAAATCAAAACTTCCTGTTCTGACAACATTGCAACAAGATCTTCTGACATTTGCAAACAAGTTTTGGCAATTCTTGTTTCAGACCAAATTTGGTTGAAACCTTTATAACTGAGGAAAGTTTGGGGGGAGTGGAAATGGCTTTTCCTGATGAAAAACTGTTTCTAAGTTTAGTGAGAGGGATCTCATGCTTTAGAACACACTGATCCAGATTGGGAGACTGGGGCCAGGAAAGTCTTGAAACCCTTGTCAGCATTTGCTAGAATAGTACCTAAACTGAAATGATGGGATTCAAATTCACAACTCTGGTCCTTTCTTATGGGGGGAAGGCACACAATTCCAAGTTAACCTGCTCCTCTGGGGTTCCCATTAGGGATGTAAAGAGTAGACGACTATACGATTAACCAATAAGCCTAGAGGTTTGGGTTAATCTAGTCGACCACTCGCATTTCTCCCTCCTCCCCTCCCAGCAAGAGGCAGCAAGAGAGGCGGGGGAAGAAGCAGGAACTGGTGCTAGAGGGAGCCAGCTTAAAGGCTGGTTGCCCCCAGCACCAGCTCTGCAGTACCACCTGCCTTCCCACCCGTTGCCCCAGTGCTGCTGCCTCTATCAGCAGAGGAAGCAGGGGAGGCTGCTGCGGCACTGATACAGAGGCAGCAGTGCGGGGTGGCAGGGGTGGGGCCAGAGCACATTGGCTGCCAGGCCTGCCCCCAGGGACTATAGCATAGTCGAGTAAGGGCTAAGATTTCATGTGATCACTCAACTGTTCAATAACCCAACAGCTAACATCCCGAATTCCGATGATCCATCCTGTTTTCTCTCTATCCTCATTTATGAAGTGCATATGGCACTGAGTGCATTGTGAGCTCATAACAGAGAAATCAGACTAATGGCAGAATGACGGTGACGACTGAACAAAGGTGCGGCCATGTAAAAGTTAAGGAGAGGAGCAAAGCGACCAGAGTTCTGCAGCCATGTTGTCGGGGGAAGTGCCCTTTCACGTCCTCACTCAAATGGCTACAGCTAATGACACATGAGTTTCCAGAGATGGCTGAAAAATGAAATGAGATTTTTCCTCAAAAAATTGTGCAGGAGGGTTCATTGTAATTTAAAATGTTGGGGAAAATAAATCATTTTTTTTTCAGCTGGCCCAAGTAACTAATTATCCTTTCTGAAGAAAATCTGTGGGTTACACATGGGACACTGATGACTCCATGTAGATCCGCGGCATCAGAGTTTGCAGCTAGGAGCTCTGGATCCTAAGGTGTGAGTGTCTATTGCAGGGGTGGACAATAAGAGGCCCACGAGCTGGAAACACTTCACTGAAGACACCTTATTTACCTGCACGTTTGCAGGAACAGCCACTTGCAGCTCCCATTGGCTGGGGAGCACTGTTCCTGGACAATGGGAGCTGTGGGAAGTGGTGTGGATCACGACATCACTTTCCACAGCTCCCATTGGCTGGGAATGGTGATCCATAGCCAATGGGAGCTGTGAGTGGCTGTCCCTGCAGACATGCAAGTAAATATAATGTGGCAGCTTGCCAGGGGCTAACCCTGAGAAACCTCATCTGGCCCATGGGCCACTTATTGCCCACCCCTGCGCTATTGCCTGAGTTAAAAGACCTCTTTCTCTTAGCTAATGCCATAGCAGGCTCAATCTCCAATTTGCCCAGCCACCACTAGAGGGGGACAGAGTGCCACACGGAACCGACATAGCTTACAAGAGACTGAGAAACATGCATGCATATTGAGCACTGACCTTCCCTAGGAAGTGTTTTCTGTACGCCCTGGCTTCACCTTTGCACTCTAATTTATACCCAAATGTGCTAGGGCTCAGGTTTTCCTCTTCCTCTTCGTAGATGCTGCTATCCGACGAGGTGGGCGTGCTGATGTTTTCTGGGTCTTCAATCCAATACCCGCCAAACTGAGGCAGAATGATTAAGGGATAAGGGCCTCCTTTCTCTAAAATCTGTGAAGAATTCCAATAAAGTGCCATGAGGATACAATGCAGAGCAACAGGGATGGAATTAGCCGGGGCAAAGCAGACTGATCAGTGGGAGAGTTTACCACTGGGCTTTGGAGCAGGCCTTGAGAGTCCCCTTTCACCATCCAGGAGAAGCAGAGGATCCAAGCGCTTAGTATGGCCAGCCCCAAACCTTTAAAAATCAAGTATCCGGCCCCAAAATCATGAGACTGGCTTGAAAATAATGATCTTTAAAAAAAATACATTTGAGGTTCTTTTTCCTGACCTTCTGAGCCATTAAGTGTGCGTGTGAGTCACCTTTTCCAGCTTCTCTCTGCAACTGTGAGGGCTAAAAACACAATCTTTTTTTTTTTAAAACTTTAGAGTCTTAGCTTTGATTTAATTAAGTGTCTCTGAGATGTGAGGCTTTAAGAAACACACCAAACATCCTGAGATTCATCGTAACCTCGAGAGATTTGGCAACAAGATTTTCATGCTGACCACTAAAGTGGGAAAAAAATTGTTTGTGTTCCAGTCACTTGTAAATAAGTATATTAACAACTAACCCACACAGATAGGGCCAAATCCTGAGGACTTTACTCTACGTTTGCTCACTCTCAGCTCAGGCAGAACTCTCCATGATATCAGAGCAATGGTGCATCAATGTTTGTATACGTTGGACTCATTCTCAGCTGGCATGAGCCTGCAGGCTATGTCTACACCGCAATGCTATTTCAAGATACCGGAGTATCCCGAAATAGCTATCCTGCATCTTCACAGCAAGCCCATTATTTCAGGCTCACGATTCCAATGTGCCTGTAACCCACATTCCATGAGGAGAAGGGACGTTTTGGAATAGCGCTTTATTTCAAAATTTGGCACTGTGTAGACACACCCTACATGGCGCTGTGTAGACAGAGCCAAATGACAAAATAAGCTATTCTGAAATAGCATTGAAATAAAATACGCAATTTGCATAGCTCAAATTGCGTATCCTAGTTTGAATTACGGTGCGGTGTAGATGCATCCTCCATGCCCCTCACACCATCTCATTGCTTAAACGATGGGAAAGGAGTGTTGTCCAAGATGTGCTTGCCATGAGGCAGGTAAATATCAAATAACTAGCTACCTGCTTGTCCAATCCGCATTCCTATTCTTGCAAGAATCAATAACAGGCAACCTTGGGACTGCACTTCTCTCACAGCTATGGCTTAGTAGCAGCTTTGTCCCGCGGGCTGGGACTGTACCCAGATTGCAAGTGCAATGCTCAAGCGCAATAGCACCAAGTTAACCACGTTACCTTTGTTTCATTTTAAAAGTTATTTTGAGGATGGAGGGAAGCATAAAACCCTCAGCATCAATAGTGGTTCTGCAACAGGAGCCAGATCATGCCTTCAAATCAATTACACTGTCTTCACTGGGACAGAATCATGCTCTAAAACCATAGCATCAACTCCTTTACAATAATTTATATGTATTCCTCGCCTTTCACCCAGGCGCATCCCGAAGCACATGACTAACCAATCAGGCAAACTGTTTTCTGAGGCGGAATAAGGCAAGTAACAGGTGCAGTGAAAACAGCGCAGGAACCTTGACTTACATTTACATATATACGGCATTCATCCCAAAGTGAGTTAGAAACTGAACATCAGCATATAGAATAACTTCACCTAATACTGAAATGCAGCCGTGTCGGGAGTGCGCTGTAGCGGTGATAGTTTAGCAGGAATAAGAAATCCTCTGGAAAAGGGCTTATTTTCCGGAGAATCGTGTCTAGACTGGCGCTTTTCTCCGGCTTATCCCCAAGCGGGAAAAAAGCAGCAGGCATGTAAATGCAAATGCCGCGGGGGATATTTAAATCCCCCGCGGATTTGCAATTGCAACTCGTCTCATTAGCATCCCTTTTCTGGAAAGGGATACCAATGTAGACGTAGCCTAGGGGTACGTCTAGACTACATCCCTTTTCCGGAAAAGGGATGTAGTCTAGACGTACCCCTAGGCTACGTCTACATTGGCCCCTATTACGGATTAGGGATGCAAATGTAGAATTTTGGAAGATGTTTGTTGGAGAAACGCGGCAGTCTAGAGGCTGATCTTTCAAAAAATAAAGGCTTTTTCTAAAGATCCTGTAAACCTCATTTCACGAGGGATAAGGGATCTTTCGAAAAAGGCTTTATTTTTCGAAAGATCAGCCAAAAGATCAGCCTCTAGACTGCCGCTTTTCTCCAACAAAGCTCTGTGTCAAAAAAAGCGGCGGCCATTTTTATGCTAATGAATCACGGGATATTTAAATCCCCGCTTCATTAGTAATTTCAATACATCTAATTTACATCTCTTTTCCGTAAAAGGGATGTAGGCTAGATGTACCCTAGGTCAGTGACGGGCAACCTGCGGCCCTTCGGGGTTGTGTGTGTGGCCCGTGAGACATTTTGTTTACCAATGCCCATGTGCTGCTATGGTTCAATCAGCCCAGCATGCAAATTCTAGGTACACAAGTGCAATTAGCAAAACTACCCTATACCAGGAGACCGTCTTGGTTCCGACATTCTCACGGCCCACTCAGATGGAGGTCACTCCTGGTGCCCACTCGCTATCCCACAAAGCCATCACTGCACTAGATAGACCCTCTCTAGAGGAAGAATCCAGTCCTACTGCTCTTAGGCTAGACACTTACTCAGGTCTGGTGATAACTCCGTGATCTGATAAATATCACTTCGACCTGGAACTGCTGGGGGAACCGAGGCAGAGGAAATACAATTCCCCACAATGCACCTAAGCCAGGATAGGAGGCTGTGCTTGTTATTTATTCTCCTCATTTATGAAAATGTGTTGTGGCCTCCAAATTGATGGACAAAACAAAACCAATTATAAAGCCACATAGATCTTCCCTAGAGACAATATTCTAGAGAACAAATGGCATTTTAATAAGCAGCATGGCCGGAATCTTGGCTTCACAGCTCATCCATACAGGAACAAATCTCTACACATAACGTGCATGATCATTTTGAAAAAGGCAGCCGTGCATACTTTAAAGCACCTACCTCGTCAATGCTGGGGTATGGGATGTAATCTTCCTACAAAAGATCAAAACATTGCAGAAATGATTGCTTTCTTCTCCATTAGGCATTTGCTAGATCTTTACCCCTTTCCATGTAACGCAAACATTTTAAAACTGCCCTTTTTCCAGTCAGTAAAAGTATGTTTTAATGTTCCAGGGCCATGCACTATATAAACATATATTTATCCTCACCACATCCCTGTGTGATGGAGAAACTGAGCCATGAAGTATTCTTGCCCCTAGTCAAAGTGAAAGGGCCAGTCCAGAGGATCTGTATGTAAATGGCCAACAAAGAATTCACCTTATGGAGGAGAATTTGCTAGTGGAAACCCAGATGGGAGGAGGGATGGTCAATGGTTAGGACTCAGGAGATCACAGCTCAATTCCATGCTCTGCCACAGAGCTCATGTGTGACATTGGGCAAGTCACTTTGTCTTTGTATGGTTCTGTCCCCCATATCCAATACTTCCTCCCCAATGGGGGTTAACAATCTAGAGGTGTCAGTAACAAGGGTGATACAAGCATCTGAGAGGTGAGTGAGTGTAAGAGGCTCCAGTGCCAACTATAACCCACAACCCAGGGGCGGCCAACCTAGATTAGCTGCCAGCAATTGGCGCCCTAGGTAAATCATGCAATTGGCACCCCCACCTCCAAGCCCCTCAATGATATTGCACCACCATTTGGCACCCCATTTAACTTGGCACCCTAGGCGACTGCCTAGTTCGCCTATATGGACGGGCCGCCCCTCACCCACTGCAGCCCTTTGACTGTTCTGATGATAGGGCCAGGTCAGTGCAGAATCAAGAAACTGTAACTGGCTCTACAAGGGGGCCCCTTCCGGTGCCAAGCAGTGTAGTGCTGCAGAAATAAAGATCTCTTCACATCCTGCTACCAATATCCTGAGCTTTGTGAGTTTGTTTGAATAGGGCGAGCTCTGCCATTCCTACAAATGAGAGCCGTGTAGAAAGGCAACCAGACCTGCAGGTTACTACAGGGACTGAAGCACCTAATTGGACTTAAAACCTGCCCTGCATCAATGGAGAGACGGGGTGTGTGATTTTTCCATTCGTCCTGGGATTCGTTGTTTCAAAATACCCCAGTGCAGAAGGATATAATGGAACCATTTCCCCATTCAGTTACTAATATAAGCTTCTCAACGATGCGATTAAAAGACAAACCATTTTAAGCAGCTCACAGCAGAAAGACAAACAGGTCTGAGACCTAAGGCTAGATTAGAGACTGGCATGCACATCTATTTTATCTTTGCAATTCAATCAGTCCCAAGTCTTTAGATAACACTTAAATCCTTTACCAGCATCCCCTGAAATCCCTAGTTCTAGAGACAGAATATTATTCTGAGAGTTCTGCAGAATGACCCACACCCATCCCAAAACCAACCTTATTTTTGTGGCTTCCCGTTCTCTGGTCTTCAGGTTTTGGTGCCTGTTTTTAAACACATAATAATGATAAGGTAAATAATTAAGATGTTTGCTTTGGAATGGAAGAAAACACAATGCTATTGCACTGCAGTGAAATCTCTCTTAAATTACTACTCTGAGGGCTAACCTATCCTTGGAGTGCTACAATGGCATTCCATGCTGTTGGTGTAAGTAATCCATCTCCCCGAGAGGCAGTAATTAGGTCTACAGAACAATTCTTCTGTGGATTTAATGCTGTTCACACTGAAAGTTAGTTGGCTTAACTATGCTCCGCAAGTGGATTTTTCACACCCTTAGGCCAGGTCTATATTGGCGGAGAAAATCGATGCAAAATACGCAACTCCAGCTACGTGAACTGTGTAGCTGGAGTCTACGTATCTTTGCGTAGCTGGAGGCAACATATCTTGCATCGATTTTCTGGGGCGGCTCCACAGCGGGAGGTCAACGGAAGAAACTCTCCTGTCGACTTCGCTTTGACGGGGGTGCCCTCAGCATTCGATTTAGCAGGTCCTTATCAGACCCGCTAAACCGAATGCCAGAAGTTCAACCTCCAGAGTATTGGTCTAGTGTAGACCAGCCTTCAGTGACCAACGAGGTTATGCTAGGACGCTCATTGTGTTTTTTAGCTTGATCTGATAACATGTGTGAAAACTATAAACTTCCTTGTCCACACAGGGATTTTCCCATGTTAGTTTCCATGTGTTAGCTAACCTCTTGTAATAACAAGGGCTGAGTGAAAATTTTGGAAAACTGTACATTCAGCTACACCAAAACATTTTATGATTTCATGTTTTACCACAGCGTTTTAGTCAAAAACTTCCTAAAATAAATTCAGGAGACAGAGGGAAATCAAAACATTATATGTCAACACTTTTGAAACAAAATGGGCTTTTGTAAAAAAAAATAAAATTAAAGGAAATTGTGGAACAAAAAGTCATTTTGAACGGAAAAGCTCAAACAATCCAAAAATGTTTTACAAATGCTTGAAATTGCACTGAAACCTTTCATTTTGGATCAAACAAAAAGTTTCATTTGACCGAAAATGATTATTTTGTTACCTTTACAATTCAAACTAAAACCCTTCTCCCCAGTTCTTTTTCTTGAAAATTGCCAACAAAGCACCAATTCCATGATTTGCATAGCTCTAGCAAAAACATACTTTCGAAGGCTATATATCCGTATTGCAATCTAAGGGTGTGGTTCCCTTGCTTGTGTACACATGCTCAGGCTAGCAAGAATATAAACAGCAGTGTAGCCACGGTACCACAGGTAGCGACAGCAGAGGCCTGGCTGAGCCGCCATGGCACCATAGGTAGGTGGCTCATCTGGGCTTCCGCTGCCCATCAATATTCCCTCTAATTGTTTCCATCCACGTGTGGAATAAATTTTGTTCTGTGCACCAATTCATGTGTGGATGTGCACCATTAATAGTAACACATGCTGTTGGCTTTGCTAATCAGATGGATGGCATTTGAATCTCTCCAGGGGCAGTGGGGGCTGCTCAATCGTTCAGCTTACAGGGAACACTGCTGCCAATACTTGTGCTTCTATGGCTACATTGCTATTTATGCTCTATGAGAACTAGACCAACTATGCGTACACAAGCCAGGGAATTACACCCTTAGTTCACGCATAGCCATCGCCTATGAGGCAAATTAGGAACATGTCATGCCAAGTGCACTAAAATGGATTAAGTCACCTTGTTTACAGTCAACCGCAGATTGCTGCTCTTACCAACATATTGAGCATTTCAGGGAAATACCACAAAATATACCACAAAGTGCTATGGCCCTGATTCATCCAGGCACTTTACATTTGATATCTGGGAGACTACTCATATGCTCAAAGCCAGGTACATGTTTTAAAGTGCTTCAGTTTTACTGAATCAGAGCTGTGTTGCCCAACAGTGTCCCAGCACAACATATGGCAGGTGTCTTCTGACTGCTCAAATTGTGAGGTGACCGACATACTGACTCTCAATGGGTATGTCTAAACTACATCCCTCTGTCGACAGAGGGATGAAAATTAGGCACTTTGAAATTGCAAATGAAGCTAGGATTTGAATTTTCTGCGCTTCATTTGCATAATCACGTCATGGTGCTCTTTCCAAAAAGCACCGTTTCGAAAGTAAATCCGAAGTCTAGACGCGGTTCTTTTGAAAATGGAAGCCTTTTTTGAAAGATCCTGTAAATAAAAATGAGATTTACAGGATCTTTCAAAAAAGGCTTCCATTTTCAAAAGAACCGCGTCTAGACTTCGGATTTTCGGTTTTACTTTCGAAACGGAGCTTTTTGGAAAGAGCGCCATGACGCGATTACGCAAATGAAGTGCAGGAAATTCAAATCCCGGCTTCATTTGCAATTTTGAAGTGCCTAATTTACATCCCTCTGTCGAAAGAGGGATGTAGTCTAGACACACCCAATCTGATGCACCTGAAAATAATTGGTATACATTTTGGGTGGCATGTGCCAGTGTTTACTGATATCCCACAAAGACTAAAAGCTGGGAGGTGCTTTCAAAGAATTTTGCAACTATATGGATTGATTAATCAGGGTGCGCCTACACTGTACCATTATTTCGAGATAACTAGCATTATTCCAAAATAACAATGCAAGCATCTACACAGCCATTCCGATAATTTCAAAATAACAGATGGCTTATTCTGAAATCTGTAAACCTCATTCTCCGAGGAATAACGCCTATTCCAAAACAGTTATTTTGAAATAAGGTGTGTGCAGACGCTCCACTGCTGCTATTTCCAAATAGCCCCATTCTAAGTTATTCCTCCCTAGTGCCTCCTGGGGCTTTAAATGGAGATAGCACATGCAAAGCCTTCCTCAGACTAATTTTGAGGCTTCCCTGCAGTGTAGATGTGCAATTTTGAAATAAGCTATTTCAGAATAAGTATTCAAGAATAGTTTATTTCGAAATAAGTGTGCAGTGTTGACATACCCAAAAGGACTAAGAGCTACTGCTGTTCACCAATACCCTTCTGGGAAATTATACATTTCATCTGATTTTTGATGTTGAGATTTAGTACCAAAGCATCTTCTCTGACTAGTTTAGACAAGGACAATATTATTTTTAACCACACATGATATGAAATACATGTTAAATGCATGTCAAGTCCACGTACTGGTTTGGGAACTTGCTATCTGCACTGTATCTGTTTATTGTCATTCTGGACAGCTTTCTTAATGAGAAGTAATGCATGAGGGGGTACTGTAACATATCTGTCATGCTACTCACCTGCATTTTTTCCAGCATCTCAAAGAACTCTGCAGACTGAAAAACAAATGAAAGATAAATCACTTGCCTGTTTGAAATAGAAACGAGGTCAACTCGCCCAATTCAGATTTGGATCTGGATTTTAAACATCTCCCCTCCCCCTGACAACTTTCAAACTGGGGGTCTGGTTCTGACCCAGGTTCAATAAAGCTCAAGAGGAGAAAAGTGATTCAATGAGGAGCTTATAAAAGCAATTAATTTACCTCGGAGATTAATATTAGATCTTTTCTTTGACAATTGTGACAGTAAAAAAATAAATAACCTCATAACAATTAAGTAACTGGAGTAGGTGGTTACTGTTAGTGATGGTAACCCATGAAATCTTCATATCCATACAGAAACAGCAATGGTAGTTCACACTCTGTAGTGCCTCCTCTCTTGTAGGATTGCCAAGTATTTTATAGAGTCACAAAATGATAGAAATGTCTGGTTGAAGTCATCAAGTCAAGTGGCCTACCCTGTACCAAAGCAGGGCCATGTAAACCACCTTTACCAACATCAGTAATTCAGTCTTAAACAGACCTGCAAGGCAATATTTTCATTCCCATTTACCAGTAGAACATGAGGGCAAACCGAGTTGAAGTCACTTGCCCAAAGTCACCCAGTAAGTCAGTAGCAGAGCCGGGGTTAAAACTAGAGTTCCTTGAAGAGGGTGAACAAAGAAAAGTTATTCATTAGTTCCCATAATATAAGGACTAGAGGACACCAAATGAAGTTAATGGGTAGCAGGTTTAAAACTAATAAGCGAAAGTTCTTCTTCACACAGCGCACAGTCAACATGTGGAACTCCTTGCAAGAGGAGGCTGTGAAGGCTAGGACTATAACAGAGTTTAAAGAGACGCTAGATACATTCACGGAGGTTAGGTCCATAAAAGGCTATTAGCCAGGGGATAAAATGGTGTCCCTGGCCTCTGTTTGTCAGAGACTGGAGATGGATGGCACGAGACAAATCACTTGATCATTGTCTTCGGTCCACCCCCTCTGGGGCATTTGGCGCTGGCCACTGTCAGCAGACAGGCTACTAGGCTAGATGGACCTTTGGTCTGACCCTATACGGCCGTTCTTATGTTCTTGTAAGCTGAGTGCTTGTGCGGCCACTCAGATTCTAATGCCACCCAGCTGATTAGCAGAACTCTCAAAGCTAGGTTTTTTTGTTTCTAGTGGTGGTGCACATTCGTGCTCACATTGGTGCACATAAAAATTTATTCTGCACATGGGTGGAAAAAATCCGCACATGGATGGAAGAGATTAGAGGGAGCATTGGTTAAAACTCCAAAGTCATGACTCCCAGCTCTGTGCTTTTGCTAAAAGAAAAACATTTCCCCGCTCACAGCATTAGCACAGCTGGTTTTATATCCTGTATGAATGGCGGCCGCTAGACAAAAATATGGTCAGACATTTTAGTGGCAGCATTATTGGGGTTCATACTTTCGCATGAAGTAACAAGAGGACAATATAATTGCATGCATGTATGTGCATGCAGAGAGAGAGAAAGAGAGGAGAACTGACTTTCCATCTGGTAATGGATCTGTGGTTCACACACACTTTGTCAGAGGACAGGCCAAACAGACACATAACTTAGCAGGTAACTAGGTATATGAGCAGTGTTTGAAGAGCTGCTCTCAAAGGGAAGACTTTTCTTCCTCAGGTTCTGATGGGCTTCTGTGTGAACCTCGTGAATGAAGTAGAAACAACTTTAAAAAAATGAGTAGTCCTGTGGCACAATGGAGACTAATCTTTAAGGTGCCACAGGACCACTTCTTTCTTTTTTAAAAAAGTTGTTTTTAAAGTTACAGACTGATATGGCTGGCTACCCCTCTGCGAATAAAGTAGGTCTTTTCCCCTCCCCTGCACAGCATAAGCCCCCAGAACTAATCAGCTGATTGTGTAGGAGAAAGATTTGATAAAACTGCTGTTATCCAGCCGTGATACATGCTGGGAATCAGCAGCACCAGCTCTTGCCGTACTTTTGCACTACATTTTGTGTAGAAACAGAGCCTGGCGTTTTAAACTTCTTCAATGGAAACAAGAACTAGGTTTGATTACAACTTCATGTCCTGGGCCATATAGACCACATTCTGCTAACTGACCTGGGCAGAGAACCAACTGTTGGTATGAACCCTCCTGACTAAAACAACCCAAGCCCCACTCAACATTAATTACTGTATCTCAAATGACGGAGAAAGGGCTGAACACCATGGAGCCTGAGGGCAGGACTGATCAAAGAAAACCTAGCTGTAAGAATCCTTCCTGATTTTTTTTTTTTTTTGGTTCACCCCCATTGCGGAAAAATCCCTTTTCCTTCCAAGCATGTGGCTTGAGACCCACACCCGGGGCTTTTTGGCCCTCTACCTAAGCCATAGGCTTTCTCGACTTGTCAGACCCACTTCACAGTTACCTTATACCAGGGTTTAGATGCAATAGAGATGAGCAAAAATAGGTAGGCAGGGAGGCAGACCCACAGAAATTCAGTGTACTCACTGCTTCAGTGAAGTGGCACCTCATGTGTCTCAGACATGCCAATGACACCTGCCAGTCAATTTGAGTGCCAAGACTGACTCCCAAGAGCTTCCCTAAGGCCAAGTTACCTTCTTATATGCAAATTATTTATGGTCTTCAATGTCACTGAATACATGAAATTAGCAGTAGGTGGCTAAATGCTTCAGCTATTTCCTGCCCTGCCTACTCTTTCTTTCCTTGTTTATTGTGATAAGGTTACTTCCCTTTAACTTCCCTCTGCAATTCGTTTCACCCTATTTCAGTCCCTCTTGAAATAACAACACTGAAAGTACTTGGCTCTCACAGAACCGGCCAGCACAGGGGACAAAATAAGACAGCAGTTTGAGAACTTACTCACCTTTTTGGCAAAGTCAATATATGACTATATTGAATATGACCACCCCAGTAGCAGTTTAATAACAATCATCAGGAGTAACAGCCACTTTTGCATGACTCACAGTTTGCTTTTCATTTGTGCAATATAATATTCCAAATGGTAATCACACCTTGTTCAACTGAACTATTAAGTAATGTGTTGTCTCAATTATGTTCAGTTTTACTGTAGCTCATAAACTACTTTTTACTAATATTGCAAAACCTACAGTTCAAAAATCATGACATATGCTTAAAATCATTATATTGTAAAAAAAAGGGGAGGAGGATTGGGGTTCTTTTTATTTGCCCTGGGGGTTTTTTGCCTTGAGGGTTCACATTTTCAGGTTTTTCTCTGCAACCAAGGGAGAGAGAAATGGATTTAAAAACAAAAACAGAGCTGAGATTCTCACATGACCACACGGAGGCTGAAGCTTTAAAAAAAAACCTCCAAACTTCACAGGCATTGGCACACTGTAAGCCAAAGAAAAGGACAATGTGCTGGCACGCCACTGTTGTTCACAAAGTGACCGTTTATGTTCAAAAGTAAGGCAAAAAAACAGCTGGCTATAGCTACTCAATTTGTGCATACAAATCTGAGCGCATGAAATTTGCACATAACATTTTCAAAAGGGGCTCGCAAGATCTTACTTTGCAGGAGATAAACTTTAAACAATCTATTATATATTTTAGAGAGTTTGTCTGTCTGTCTATATATTCAAGAACTCCTCCTAAATGGTAATAGCTAGTATCACCAAATTCAGTATTCAGCTTCCTCTTCTCATAACTTAAAGCAAGGTCAGGGTTTGGCTATACCAGGATAATGGGATGTGCCTGGAATGGGATTGCTTCTCATCAAACGACACAGAAAAGAAACAGAATCATCAGGCAAGTGAAAGGAGCTGGCTGAGGGCACACCCTCCCTGCTTCCGGGACTACCCCAGCCCCAACCTTCCCATCCCCAGGTGCCTTTTAGGTATGGGGGAAGGGGCGGAATCTCTCCTCACCCCGATTCATACAGGAACATTACTGGCTGTTCCCCTTCGTCAGGAAGTGAGGGGAAAGTGCACAGTTTGCTCCTTTCCTCACTCTGGCTGGGGAGTGCAGGGGGAAGATGAACCTGGACCTGCCCCAGCTGAAAGACATGCACTCCTCCCCTCTCTCTGTCCACTGCAGCTGTAGTAGCTACGGAGAGGTGCTTCTCACCTGGCCCCAAGCTGGTGCAGTGAGAGAGAGGGCTGAGGTTGTCTTGTCCTCTCTCCCCCGGGCAACTTGCACACTGAACCTCTCCTCCCCCATCCCACCCCAGAACAACGATTTCAATGAAAAACAAAAAGTGAGTTAAGGGCCCGAGCAACGTCGGGTAAATCTTCTAGTGATAAATAAAAGGAAACGAGGCCAATGAAGATCCATAATAACCACAAGATTCGCATGCAGACATCAAAACTACAATGAGGACTGTTTCAAACAATCCCTGCAAATCGTTGCCCTCTTCCCTTCCCTTGCAAGACAAGTCTAGGATTCTGCATTTCGCAGGCTACAGCTCAGGTCATCCCGTACACCTGGAGCCACATCAAGAATGCCATGAATACAGCTCCTTGCAATGGTTTAGCTGGCATGGTTTTATGAACAATGGGCTACATGGCAAATGGTCTAAGGAAACCAACAAGTTAGGAACTTTGATGAAAAGTCCCGCAGGATCCCTGATAAATCGGACTCAGCATCAGGTGCTTCACTACCTTGATCCTACAATTTCAAGTGTGTGGGCAGGCCGCCCTGTCTGCCTGGATGCCCATTTGCTTCATTGGGGCTCCATGTGTGCATAGCTGTCGGCCCAGGCATTGAACTCACTATTTGTTAAAAGTTACCCACTTTCCAGCCGGACTTTGTGGACTTCCCTCCCCTCTCCATTTGCTCCCACCCAATACTCAAATCTGAGCAGAAAGTGTGCCTTTATTGGAAAGTGCCTAGCACACTGCATGTGCTGCTGGAATACAGATACGCAATTAAAAACAATGATTCCTTTCACCTTTGGGAGAAACTAAAATAGTTTCTAGATTTTACCCACTTTTTTTAGGTGCCGTATAACTTTAAAGAAGCTCCTTTTTAATGGGCAATGCTTTAAC